TCTCACGTCACAAGGTGTCTGACACCATTAGGTTCTCAGTTTTTCCTGTCTCCTTATGCTGCATGTGCACAGAATGGAAAACCAGAGAAACACTTCATTTGCAGCTGCTATGTGAAATTTAATTACACAGACATCACTTGTTTGTTTGTTTTTTGGTTTGTTTTGCAGATTTGTGCAGTCAGACCATGACTTAGCCTACTGTAAATAGGATTTGCAGTGAAAAACCGCAAACACACAATTGACAGACATAATAAAAAAAATAAATATATATATATATATATTTACACTTAGTACCTCAGGATCTGTGTTTCCTGCGTGGTCCCCTAGTCCTACTGCCCCCACACCCCCACAGATGAGGTGAGGTAAGAGTTGGAGCCAGAGGACTGTGCCATCTGGACAGACATTCTCACATGCTCACTCATATGCAAACACACACACACACACACACACAGATATACTCTTGTCATAACACACACTGACAAACACCTGGACCTGGTTAGTGGACTCAGAGTGAAGGCCTCATACTGTGAGCATGCCTGTGAATATAATGTTCGGTGCTACAGGCTATACTTTTTACTTCAATGTCTTTTTTTCCTGCTTAAAAAATCAAAAGGTGGGTAACAGCGACAACGCATAGCCAAATTCTTCCACAAAACACACAATTGTTGTCTTTAAGTATACATAGGTACAAAAAAGATCAAATAAATTGGTTCCCAGACAATCAAATGAGAGAAATATTAAATATAACAATAAAAAATGTGATGTGAATCTTTGTAAATGCAGGTTTCAGAGTGAACTTAACTCAAAGTATTGTTGATGGGAGTAAAATTAAACTGTGTGTTTGTGTACGGAGGGGTAAGTTTGTTTGTTTGTTTGTTTGTTTCTGGTTATTAGCGCATTAATTGGCGAACAGCTGTGTGAACTGAAACAAAACCAAAACTGCGCTTCCAGAGTTACCGAGTTCAAAGCAATGAGATGAATCTCAAACATTTCCAATCAATAAGTCAAATAACAGGGAGGCTGTCAACACCCAGCGGACAAACTGCTTCTTTTTTGTTTTTTTTCTGTGAATGCGAAACATTGTTCTTAAACCTTTTTAATAACGCGCCATTTGCGTGTTTTTCGCGTTAAACTTAAAGTTTACTCACCTCGGGAGGCTTTCTTGCTTTCTAAACTTGATATGCAGCAAAGTTGCAGCTCAAAACACTTCCAGGTAAAGATGAGAGTCCGTCTGAAGTTGAAGCTTTTCTCTCTGCCTCCGTTTCGCTCGCGCACATGGACGGATTGAGAAAAAAACGGGCCCGATGGGCAGACATGTTTGAAAGTGCCCCCTTCAGAAGTATCCAGAAATCCAGACTTATTAAGAGGAGGAAGGAAAATATGTATAAACTTAAAAGTGTTTATGCAGTAATTGTTTAGCACATTATTGTTTTTTAAAGTTTTGTATTATTTTGGGAATTTTTTTTTAACGTTTTTTTTTTTTTTTGTCAGATGTTTCTTTTTTCCTCTAATTTTGATTGGTGTATAGCATTTTATAATACTGTCAAAATAGTAATGATTACCTAGAGTTTGTTGTTGTCGATTAAATATTTTGTCTTTGGGTTTTCTTTTGCTATTTAATTTAGACATTAAAAACTTGATCAGTCAAAAAGTGTAAACATTAATGTCAATGTTAAAAAAAAAAAAACATAAAGCATAATTTTGCCTAAAGTAGACCTTCTCCTCCATATATCTACTTCCCAACATATCAAATGGCTTGGGGAGTGGTGGCACAGAGGTTAGAGAAAACAAACTTGTGATCGAGAGTTTGTCGACTTGAATCCCCTGACTGTTTTTGATGAGTCTGACATCAACAGTCAGACTCATCCAAAATAGGTGGAGTGGGAAAGGTGAGTCACCCACACCTGCCTCCATTGTCATTTTCTCCACTGTGGACCCTTGAGCAAGCCTCTTAACTCTTGCGTATGCTGTCCCTAAAGGGCACCCTAAATGGCTGCCTTCTGCTCCACACATTTAGGTGGTGGTCAGTGGATGCGTGAGGAAGAGCATCCAGTCAAAGAAACAATTCTTCATCCTTGTTCACTCAATGTGGTGACCCCTGAGAAAGGGAGCAGCCAAAAATAAATAAATAAAATAGTGGCCTGTAGTTCTTTGGGTTCTTGAGACTGTCCTCTGGAGGTTCGTTCTGTATCTCCCTAGTCATACAATCTGCTCTTCAGCTCCCTGAAAGTCACTCATCTAGGAGTGTCAGTCAGTGGCACTACAGAAGTGTATTTATTGGGTCCTGCTTTGAATGAATAGCTAAATTAAAAATAATATTGCTGTTGGATTTTCTCCATTTTATAGCCCATTGTCAAGATATATTTGTATCTTTGAACAGCATTAACAGATTTTCTAGTTTTTCGAGATTAGTTGATTCTTGTCTTCAATTACACTAGAACCTCTTGCTGCTACCTGTCAACGTTTGTATTTTCTGTGTTTACTTCTTTGCTTGAACCAACAATTTTCAGTCAGGTCATCTGGACAGTTTCTTTCTTGTGCTGAAACGTTTCACCTTCCATCCAAAAGGCTTCATCAGTCAAGGAAACACACAACACAAAACTGGTTCTTCCCCCAACAGCTTACTCCAAAGTGGAACCAACCAGTTATGTTGATGGTGTCTTTGGCACGCCCCTCCTTTGTTGCCGGCCCTCTCCCTCGTTGACAGTCATGTCAAACTGGTTCAAAACCCACAAAGTCCATGCTCAATAATCCAGGTATACAACCCAACAATTTTCAGTCATGTCATCTGAACAGTTTCTCTTTTTTTGCACTGAAACGTTTCACCTTCCATCCAGAAGGCTTCATCAGTCAGACCTGACTGAAAATTGTTGGATTGTATACCTGGATTATTGAGCATGGACTTTGTTGGTACTTTGCTTCAAGTTTATTTTATTGTACTTTTCTTTTTATTTTTGGTTTTCTTTGGGTTTGGTTCTACTCGTGTTCCCTGCACCATCAGCCTTTTCCCCTCAGTCAGTAGTTTTCACTCCGACACGCCCGTTTGTCTGTTTTATTCTACAGTCACAGCTGCAGCCTCTCTTCTCATCAGCCTCAGTCCTTATAGTCCTTCAGCTTCACCTCACTCGTCAGTCAAGTATTGTGCTTCGTGCTATGTCTAGTCATCTTTATGTCACCTTGCGATTATTCGTCAGTTTTTACGCTAGCTGCTGCTGCTACTTCAGCCTTTTGCTTCTGTTTGAATAAACCTTTTGGTTTTTATTCAAGCTCCCCCTGTTAATCTGCATTCCTGGGTCCAGCACCACCACAAACCATGATACAACCTGTAGTTGGCATCGATGCCACGAAGCAATTGCATAAAAAAATGTGAAAACAATTTGCAAATGCTCCTTGTTATACAGTATATAATGTTAGACTTTTTTTTTTCCAATTTAATGTCAATTATGTTGTTTAATTTCCCGTATAGTTAAACATCACTCTTGGCCTTATTTACCGTTTGCAGGACGCTTATCAATGTAAGATGGTGTTATAAACAGAAAGCAGAAATAAAAATGCATTATGCTCTCTTTAGAGGGGGTTTAAAGCATGGCATTTAATAAACAACTCAGATCAATTTCAAAAATGTCATACATACATATGTAGATATGGAGATTTGCAGAGAAATCCAAACAAAAATACTGTATTAGGCAGCAATAATAAAAAGTTTAAATCAGCAAAGACTGATTGTGGGCACTCCAAAAACACAACAACAACAACAATAATAATAATTCATTTTCAGTTTATCTATCAATTCTTGAATGTAACAAATGTTAACCCAAACAGGTAAATGCATAAAGTTAGATCAAATGTTACTCTCTTCTCTAAACAATATAGAATTCAATTTATTAAACGCCATGAATCCTCACAGTCTGTCACTGTTACAATGCATACATTATTGAACAACAAAACATTGTTTCTTGTTTTAGGGGAAATAAATAAAAACAAAACTATGATATTTAAAACTACTTGGTACGGAGTTCAAAACTTACCAAGTATATGCAGTTATCATCCTGCAAAGCACAAAATTAAAAAAAATATATATATCATGAACATAGTGACTGTTGTCACTTGTTTTTTATCTTTGTAAAATGTTTAGAATAATTTGGATCAATTAAAATCAATACTACTTTCCTTAAAAGAGTACTTTCCTTTTTCAAATACATACTGATAAAAATTTACATGAGCAAATTTTGGCACGACACCATGTTATGTCATATGAAATTGGTTTATATAAAAAAATTTGAATATACAATATAACAAAAGTAAAACTCTATAAAAACTGATCACGTCAAAAACATTTACCTTAATCATCACATCAGACTTTCAGTACAGTGTAATAAAATTTCAACAACCACATTCTGCATTGTAATCTATTTATATATAATTGTCTTACCAGTTTGTGATTCATTAGCTGTACAGTTTATAGATACAAAAAAAAAAAAAAAAAAAAAAATGAAGCAACACAATTAAAAAACACTTTATTCATAGCTCTATTGGTAGATACTGATCAAATCTTTGAATTTTAATAGTTTCACATAATTAAGCTTGCAAAAACAGATGTTTGCATGGAAATGATTTACTAATATTTTTCATAGAATGCACACAAATAATATGAATATGATTATATACATTTACATATCCTTGGTACGTTTGATGAGTAATTTGTAATTAGACAATATAGAACCTAAATGTGGCTATTTATAAAAACATGTTGCAGCCCTACAACTAAAATCTCATGCACTGGAAGATAAACAGATGTGCTTTTACCTTCAGTGTAGGTGCTATATTTGCCTCACACTAACTCTAAAACTTTTCTTTGCACATCAGTGTAGAATATTTATTTCAGAAATGAAAATCAAGAGGAACTGGTGGGATATTTACTGGCAATAAAAGAAACATTAGAACAACCATTTGCAATCTCTAATACAGGAACCCACCACCATGCAGGGTGAGTATAATTCCATCTATTCTGCTTACAGCCAGGTAAACTTCAACAGCAAAGGAGCCAAGGTTCATATCTTCACTGAGTGAGCATGTTTCTTGCAAAGAGGTTTATCCTTCCTCGAAAAGAAGGTTTGTCCCTCTAGAGTGGAACAGCATACCTACAAATAAACAAGAGTTCAAAAAGACAACATGGCCATTAGTTTCTTAAAGTATTTGAAAATGTCATTTGTTTGTAATCAATTCCACATATAGACTATATTTATTGTTACTCAATAAAATGGGTATTCACTTTTTCTATATTGTACTGAATTAGTTGTGAATTGGAATGAAGTGAAAAGGAACGTACTGGTCTGGATGGAGTTGGAATTAAGTGGAAGCTTTGTTTTTGAAATTTTATTCGGAATCAAACTTAGATAGACCACTTTATTATTGAGTTGAACTTGACTTTTATTAAAGAACTAAACCTGTTTTTTCTAGTGGGGGGGGGGGGGGGGTTGATTTTTTGGCCTGTGTCCTGTGATCAGTTTTGATGTGAATTAGAATTACATAAATACATTAAAAATAAATACAGTTAAGTCAACAATGATGATACAAAAATACTGTTTTTTTTTTTTGTTTGTTTTTTTCATTTACCCTTTATTTATCCAGGTTAGTCTCAATGAGCCACAAGAACTCATTTTCAAGAGAGACCTGTTTAGGGAGCAGATGGGGGTTAAGGCCCTTGCTCATGGGCTCAGAGTGGGGCAAATGAGGGTGGGAGCAGGTGTGGGTGCTTCACCTACCCCACCCACATTTCTGATCTTATATATTCTTTTATCTTTCAATCAGACCAAGTATGAGTACAAGTACTTTAGCTCGTGTACTCATCAATACTGAGTACTCACTGAATTAGAACATGAACATTACATCATGACTTAAAAAACACATTTATTTTATTTAGAACAAGGTGGCTGTCCTTACTTATAGGCCTACAGCCCCTCTGACTGTATCAAATCAAATAAACAACGTGTTTTATTCTGTGACCAAAAATAAATAAATGAATAAAAATATAACAAAATGTTTTTTTTCCAACTGGTATAATTTTTTTAAAACATGAACCTGAAACTTCCCGCATCCAAATTGGAGGTCATGGTCCTCAGTAGCTATGTTTACATGCGCAAAATTATGTGACCGGATTGAAATGTTTTCAGATTAAATAATTCAAATGTATCGTTTACATGGGCACACTCTGTTCATGACGAGCGTTTACATGCAGCGGGCTTTGTTCTTAACCAAAGTACTGACATGCGCAGAGTGGTAAACTCCCCTTAAAAAAACACAGAAGAAGAAGTTCTACTTCCGGTTTACTTCCGGGATGAACATAAACAAAACTGAGCGCCCAAAATGGACCTGCGACAGGTTTTAATGACGGTGGAGACGTTACTGCACTCCCTGACTGAGCTACAGGTAATACAGATCATTTTGAGATCTTTCAAAGTTTCTAGTAGAAATGTTGCGTCGCTCACCGACCAGTTTTGCTTCCTCGACATGCTAATATTATTAGCATTAGCGGAAATGCAAAGTCGCACATGTGCAGTCAGGTCAGGTTTTCACGATCAGAATTTTTTTTTTACAGATCAAGCGTTTACATGGACACCGTTCAGGTTGTGAATCGGCGTAAACCACCTGTTTCGTTCTGATCACAAATTATTTCGGATCACACTGAATAAAAAAATAATAATCCAAACGGGGCGTTTACATGACACATTTTTATTCTGAACGGCCGTTTGATCTGATTACTATGTCCATGTAAACATAACTAAGCAGAAAAGGGTGGATTGCTCTCTTTGGGTCGAAGGTGAGGTTTTGCCTCAAGTGGAGGAGTTCAAGTATGTCGGGGTTTTGTTCACGAGTGAGGGAAGAATGGTTGACAGATGGATTGGTGCAGCTTCTGCAGTATTGTGGTCTCTGTGCTGGTCCGCTGTGGTGAAGAGGGAGCTGAGCTGTAAGGTGAAGCTCTCTGTTGTCAGTCTATGTTCCTACCCTCACCTATGGCCATAAACTCTGCTGAATGAACGAGATCACAGACATAGGCAGTTGAAATTAGTTTCCTCTGTAGGATAGATGAACTCTCCTTTAGAGATAGAGTGAGAGGTTTAGTTATCCGTGAGAGACGAGTGGAACCGTTGCTCCTCCACATCAAGAGGAGCCAGTTGAGGTGGTTCAGGCATCTGGTAAGGATGCTCCTTGGGTGCCTCCCTAGGAAGGTGCTCCAGGCAAGTCCAACTGGGAGGAGACCCCAGCCCCATGGCCTGACTTTGGAACATGCAGAAGATGATGAATGGATGAATGGATGGACCTGAAACTTTGTACTCGAAATGTAAATCGTGTAACTCGACTCTCTGGAGAATACAATCTTCAGCACAGTTAAACTAACAATAGATAATGGACTTGCACTGCTCGTCCAAATAGCCATAGTCAAACTGAATGTAGAAACGTCCTGCAACAAGTTGTTTTTTTTTTTTTTTCCGGAAGTCATACATTTTCAGCAAAAATTTTCAACAATATAGTGGCAGCTGGGAATGTTGTATCAAGGCTCCAAAACTTTGAGAAGACGACAAAATCCAGTATCATCCCCCACTGAAAACAACTGGTTTTGAAGTGTGATGGATTGGATGAGAGCTTCAGTCATCATTTCGACACTTAGATTGCCTGGAGCCATTTTTTTTTTTCACTTTTCTGCAGAACTTGCTGCAGCACTGGTTGTGATGTGCTGCTAGCAGCCGCAAACTCTTTGAACTCCACCTCGTGTTTCACCTTCAGGTGTTTAATCAAGTAACCTGTGTTAAAATTATTATTGTTTGACCCCCCCTCACGACAGTTTAGCTGAACACAGCATACAACCTGTTTTTTTTATATATGGCCCATGTTTATTCTAAAATATCTCCAAACTATTTTTTTTTTACCTTTGATCACTTGCGCAGCGGAAGTAAAAATGATGCCACCAAACATATAAATGGTATCGATGTGTGTGTGTGTGTGTGTTTGTGGGTGGGGGGTGTTATAGGGATATAAAAAGCGAGCAGACAATGCAGCATATTGGAGATCATTGTGACTGGGCTTCATGTGTATACATTTAATGCATATTGATGAGAACTGTGCTAATATCTGCTCTTGCACGTAAAATTGTACTGGAGATAAATTTTCACCTGCTGTGTGCAAGTGTGGTTCATATGATTAAACATCATTACGAGCATTTTCCTCTAACAGGGGGTGTAACAACACTTATAATAGCCAATTTTCTCCAAAGAAAATCTCTGTCAGGACGGTATTTAAGTAAAACTGAACTTTTCTTATGGGCTACACATTGATGAAGTTATTAGAATGTTTCCTCTCAGCAAGAAGGCTGTAGTCTTCACTAGTGGCTTGGACCATTCTACAGAAAGTTTGAATGTTTTCTCTTTCTAGGGCTTTTGCTGGGTATTCTAATTTCCTAGTACAAATATGTAAACTAGATTAATCAACTTCCAATTACAATTTACAATTTATACTTTTGTTGGATGTAACTGGGATCCTGTGTACACAATTTCATTCCACCACATGTACCACATGTGGTGCGTATGAAAAATAAAGAAAGAAACTTTGACTTCCCTAAATTGTAATAACATCTGAGTGTGTATTTGTCTGTCTTGATGGTTATGCTACCCAGTTATGTTCTAGTCACCTCTCCAAAATGTACCTCACCCCTTGTCCAATTACCACCAGGGAGAGGTACCAGCTCTCCACAACCCTGAATAGGAACAAGTAGGTAAAACGATTAATTTTATTCAGAAATTTAACCTTTATTTAACCAGGACAATTCCAGTGAGACCACAGATCTCTTTTTTAGGAAATCAGATGAAACAGACCTGTTTTCAGAGTATGGGAGGAAACTGGAGTACTCGAAGAAAACCCACGCAAGCACAAGTGTTTTCACGAGGATGTATGTTTGTATGAACCTTTGTTAAGAGTACTACAGCACAAAAAAAAGGCAGCAGTTATCAATTTGACCTTATCCTGACACGTGACAAAGTTTGGACTTTGACTATTTTTTCTGAATGCAGTATGTTGCCTAAAGATCCATGTAAAAATGAGTAGAAGCTTTTGAATTGCTGTATATTTCATACCACTACGCTTGTTAGTCCTAATTGGCTTTGAAGTGATGCATGATCTTCACTTACTGTGCAAACGAAGCAGGTGTCATGCCAGGTGTAACCAAGTGCCTCTATGAATTTGTCCCCAGCCTCAATAGGAAACTCACATCCATGGCAACAGGTCCCAAACAAACTGTAAAAGTCTTAGACACAAAGAATAATGGGAAATAATAAATAACAATCAACGTTCTCAATTCTATTGACAAAGTCCAGGATTACGTTGAAATACGTACTTATAAAGATCAACTCATAAACACTGTGGGACAGAGAAAAGGGACAGACATTTTCTGATAATGTAGCTCTGAGTGTCCAAAATACATCAAGTATTTACCAGACCAATATATTTATTTTATTTTGGCCTGACAAAAATTTCACCTGCCCAGTCAGCACAGTGTAGAGTCATCCCCTACCCACAAAATGCCCTTCATAAGCAGAAAGAGTAGGCATTATTCAGGAAACCAAAAAAACAAAAGCTTACACACACGACACCTAACCCACACTTGTTCTAACTCTTCATTTCAGTGGAATTCAGAGCTAATTATCTCAGCGACCCACACTGTCTGGATGCTGGCAGGAATGACGGGCTGATTTTTGGACAAAATTAATACACATTTTTATGCAGGCCTTTTACTTTCTGAGCAGGGCAGCATTTTTAAGCAGACTGGCTTTTTATGATTGCTAATTTTACTGTGTTAAACTAAACAAGGATTTAACAGTAATTATATTAATTAAATATTTTATTAAAGTTTGAATTTGACTGTAATAAACTGATATGATATGTATTAGGCTGGATTTAAATTGGAGCCATTTTATGCACAGATCACTTGTTAATTGCTGCTATATAATTATTCTGCTTGAGCGTGGTAAGATACAAAGATGGCTCTGGACAAATCACCAGTGAGTCATACCATTCACACTCATATTCTCACCTACAAGCAGTTATGATTGACTAATCACAGCGTTAACGTCTGCCACCGAGCTGCCAACATGACTAATAGTTTATGAATTGATTTGTCAGTTTATTAAGAATAACATCGAGTATAATTAAGCTAAAGTTCAGACCAGATTGGTTTGTGTTTTAATATAATCACTTTCCTAAAAATATTACATGACTGTAGTCTTAATAATCTCCATAAATATTTTCTTGAGAAAACTGATGACAGGGCATATATGACACTGTGAAGATAATTATTAGATTGATGCTTTTTACAGCTGATAGCAGGAAATACGACCCATTCTTCAAAGTGTTACCAGAAATGCAATGAATGAGGTCAGCTTTTTAGAGTGCTCCTATAATTCAATTCAATTCAATTTATTTTTACAGCGCCAAATCACAACAGAAGTCATCTCAGGGCACTGAACAGAAACATGCATATATACAAAATAATAAGTTCACACTATGTATCTGAAGAGCAGACTGCTTTGAATTTAACTCCATCACAGAACTCTCATCTTGAGCAAGCACGAAGGCGACAGTGGAAAGGAAAAACTCTCTCATGAGGAAGAAACCTTTAGCAGAACCAGGCTCAGGACAAGCGACCATTTGCTTTGACAGGCTGAGTTTGGTAGAAACAGATACACAATGGCAGGTCAAGAATCACCTGGTAAGATAGAAATAATATCAAATGAAAACTATTTAATTTTAGCAAATCATTTAAGGAAATGAGGTCAGTTTGTCCTCTAGTAGTCTAAGCTTAAGGCAGCATGACAAGTCGACCCTAATTATAGGATTTATCAAAAAGGAAAGTCTTAAAACTGGACAATGTGTCAGCCTCACAGACAGAAATTTGAAGTTGGTTCCACAAGAGAGGAGCCTGATAACTGAAAGATATTCCTCCCATTCTGTTTTTGGAAACTCTAGGGACTATGAGTAAGCCTGAAGTCTGAGAGCAAAGTGCTCTGTTAGGATAATATGGAACAATAAGATCTCAAATATACAATGGAGCTAGGTTGTTGAGGGCTTTGTATGTTAGAATTGACATTTTGAATTCAATTCTGGACTTGACAACCCAAAAAACCCACCGACATTTTTAATTAAGCTTTGACTGATAATATATTTATTAATGGTCGGCAGACCAAGCCATGTTGCCATATAATTGAATCATCAGCCACACAGGTCTGCTGAAGGAATCAAAAGCCAAACACCGGCCCGACCCGCACATTAAGCACATTATTATTGCCCAGCCTGGCCCAGCCCTAATCCAGATCAGGCTGGGCCAGGCTCCGGGTTCGGGTTAGAAATGACAGCTCTGCTATACACAGGTGAAAAAACTTTTAAAATAATTTATTTTAAACAAACAATCCATGGCTTATCCATCAATCAGCCAATTGTGTCATGTCCATTCTTACTTTAAAAAAATGTGATATAGCAAATCCACGAAAAATGAACTGCGATGTAATGAAAGATTACTGTACATAAATTACATAATTCACCGTCATGCTTCATAACTTGTACCAACCTACTTGTTTAAGCAATGCTATTGTTTAAGCAAAGAAAAATTGGGTATTTATGAGGAGCTTTAGATTTAATGAACCCATTCGCAGATCTGGGGCAGAACCCAGTCTCTGGGTCATCAACAAAATTTCCTGGAGAGCCTAATTTTGTCCTGGTCAGGCAGTGTGAGTACCGTCATGTTTCTTGGAATTATGAAATCTCTGTTGTAGTTAATTAAATTTATGTTGCCAAATTAAGATGGTATTTGCAAAGCGGTTTTGCTTTGTTAATCTCTGACACTATTCCACATGCATCTCCAGTTTTACTGTGTTTCACACATCTTAAGGGGTCAAACAACAAGAATATCCCAGTGGTAACTGATGCAGGTATTCTGAGTAAGGACCAGTCACATGCGAGCTAGTGAACTGGTTACTATGATGAACTGATTTTGATTTATGGCTCTGTGAGACAAAGGGAAAGAGCTCAAATATATCCAGCCAGCATGCCACCAGACTACCACTGCACAAGATTACAGCAACACTTACCGTATATACAGTGATTGTTGTGTCTGACTTACATGTATTGTGACATACAGGTATAATGTGGCAATATGGCACATTTGCAGGTTTTCCCTTACGATTCCAGAAGACATAGAGTAGATATTAAGACTGCTTCATTTCCACTGACCTTGCTCACAGTAAGGCTCTCCATCCTCCAGGTGGAAAGTGTTGTTTCTTATTGGCTGCTGACAGGTGGCACACAGGAAGCAGTAGACATGCCATGATTGTTTGAGAGCATTTATCACCTCCTGATGCAAATTTAAAAATATGGTTAGTCTAAAACATTATATTGATGTGTACTGATACATCTTGGTTGACATATAGATTCACCAAAATACTGGGAAAAGAATACAGGACATATTTATACAAAACATCTGTTCTACTGAACAACACTGATCAAATCAGATATTTATGGAATACGTTTCGTAGATGAATCGTTGTTGGATTACAAAGATAAATGTGTCTGTTGTGCTTCAATAAAAATGCAATCTAATTGTTTAACTTACTTGGGTCACCTTTCTTTATTTCTCTTTTGTCTCATCTAGTCTTATGACTAGGCTTAAACTGAATCTACAGATTTTTTTTTCCACCACCCATAAACTATGAGACCGAGGAAGGACGAGGAATTAGTGGGAAATTGGTTGGCCATAGTAAAATGAAGGATTAGGAGTCAGGGGGTGAGAAAACCAGTTAATAAGAAGCTGTAAGCTGGTTGAAGATGTGTGAGAAATAGAGGGTTGTAAAGGACTGAGGCTAAAGAGGTCAGAGCATGTGAGGGATGAATGTCAGAGCTGCTCTGAGAACAGTCAGTTCAACTTCTTGACACTTTTGGTTCAAACCACACCTGCAGCCTTTAGGCCTTTAAGCCTAACACTCCCACCAATCAGAGCATGTTACTGCATTCCTGAGCTGCAGTCTTGGTCATCATGGATATTTTTCACAATCTTATAACATTCCTGGTGCAATTTCTAAACACCACACAAAAAGTAAGGGCCAGCTAAATGGGTACTGTCCTAAACTGTTCATCCAAACGATTAAATAGGAGAACTATCCAAGTCTTCATCCCAATCCCCAACATTACAGTTCCCTCTTCACAGTTCACACATGAACTCACACCCAGTATCTTGGCCCGGCAGCGACTGCAAGTTGGAGCAAAGAACTCTTCATAGCAGTGTTCACAGTACACATATCCCTTTTCCTCCACAAAGCCTATATCTGCCAGGGAAGTGTGGCAATGGGCACAGTTAAATTCCTCTTTGTGCCACGATTTTCCCATCGCAACCAAAAATGGCCCTCTGAAAGAAAAACAAACAGGTGGAAGTTGTGTTACAAACTGGTAATAAAAATACATCCAACAAAACAAAAGCAATTACTAACTTTATCCTGACATCTGCTCGACACATCAACAGTATTATTAATTCATTACATCACATATGTATGTCAACATTTATATTTAAAATACTTCATCACTATAAAGATACTTAGTTATTCATAGTCTTCAGTATACAGTATGATGTGTTTTGGGCATCTCTCCATACATTCATTGTACCAGTACATACCTGCTTTGTTCTATATAGAGTGATGGGAGGAATGCTGTGATTTAGCACATCAGAGTTAACGTGAGAGAGACAGAGCACACCCTGAATAGTTTGACAGTTCCTCACATGGTGACAGATGAGAAAACCCACCGTGCAGATGATGATCAACTTAAAACCACCCGTTAACCTAACTAACACAGTATAAATACTGTGAGAGGAAACCAAAGCAACCAGACGAAGAAAAAATGTATAAATATACACAGAAGAGCATGCAATTTTACTACAGGTGACACTTTTTGAATATTCCAAAACCAATTTATATCTGTCCAACATTTTTCAGTCAGGTCATCTGGACAGTTTCTTTTTTTGTGCTGAAACATTTCGCCTTAGATCCGTAAGGCTTCATCAGTCAAGGTGACACACAACACAAAACTGATTCTTCCTCCAACAGCTTACTCCAAAGTGAATCAAACCAGTTTTGTTGGTGCTAAGATGGTCTCTTTGGAACGCCCCCTCCTCCATTGCCGGCCCTCTTCCTTGTTGACAGTCGTGTCAAACTGGTTGAAAACAACAAAGTCCATGCTCAATAATCCAGGTATACAATCCAACATTTTTCAGTCAGGTCATCCTGACAGTTTCAAACTGTGTTTTGAAACATTCCAGATGACCTGACTGAAAAATGTTGGATTGTATACCTGGATTATTGAGCATGGACTTTGTTATTTATATCTATAGCCTATTTCACAAGTCATTTTTAGCCTAAAATCTACTTGCTGTTTTAATGATTGTGTGTCGCTTAATACAGAAGAAAATCTTAAAACTAGAAAGTTCCTGGAGAAACTTTGACAGGGACTGCCACATGGCAGCCATTTTAACTTTTTGATTTGACTGTACTATGTGTTGGGGTTCGCTCGCAGCTACCATCATACCAAATTTCAACTCAATTAGGCAAAACAAAAAACAAACAAAAAAAAACCCAGCTATAGTCTTTTTGTTTAAGCTTTTGTGGCCATCTTGCATTTTTAGATTTGAATCTAGAATTTGTTGTGCGTCGCTGTCAGGTACCACCAGACCAAATTTCAGCTCAATATCTTTTAAAATAGGTAAATAATAGTACTTTTTTTTTCCCATTTAGCTAAGGTGGCCATCATGGATTCTTGATTTGCGTTAGGAATGTAACTCGCTCTCAGCTATGACCAAACCAAATTTCAGCTCAATATCTCCAAGAATGGCTGAATTATAGTCAATTTAGTGTTTTCTGAGGTATCTGTGGCAGCCATCTTGAGTCAAAATGGCTCCAAATGTTAATCAGTTACATACATCTGATGATTACTTTCTGTGAGTTCAAAAAAATCCAACAAGCTGTTCATGAGTTGTGGCAGTTGGACTCAAGAGCTCTGTTGATGTTTTTCAATGAGGAAAAATGACGTCTTTGTTTGCAAATTACATCGCCATGATAACTCGAAATGCCAAAAAAAGTAGTAGCGCACATCACAGTGCCGAGCCGGTCATTTTGATATAACATTTGTGCGGTATACACATTGTTGTGCAAGCCGCATTAAAGTTGAAATAAGAGCAAGACCCTTTTCAGGTGGATAATACTTTGTAAAAGGTGGCTACCTTTCTAGGCAGTCCCCAATAAAAGCAAGTGGCTTCAAAAAGAGCTAAGTCATATTAGTAATGGTTATATAAGAAATACACATAAATATAAAAATATTAGCATATGGTATATTTTTTACAAATCAAATTAGTGTCTCATCATTAACTGATTCATTGTTTCTGTCTTCTGTTGAAACAAGCCATCACTTGAGACATCTAAGGATGTGGCACTGACTTGTTTCCTCTCAGACAGCACCATGGCCCTATCTACTGGGAATTAAGTAAAAATGCAGCAGGCTAATCACTGTGCTTATCTTAGCTTGCTCTGACAGTGGAGCGAGTTGTCAGCTATTAGCTCAGGAGCAATGTGACACCTGGTGACATCCAACACTGGGTGACACAGCTGCAGATAACGTTTGGGTTTGGGTCAGTCTGCTAGTGGACAAAAGGAAAGGTTGGCAGGAGAAAGAAAAAATAATAATTGTCTACTAAGCCGCATCAGTCCAAAAATGTTTAATATAGTGGGAAAAAAACCTATAAGTTGCTTCGCAGTAAGTTGCATCTATTATGCGTCACCGCTGACGCGTCGCGTTTGTTACGTGTCACTGCTGACCACCGGGAAACATGGGCTGGTGTTGTGCCAAAAATCGATTGGCTGCTAAAATGGCGGCGGCGAGAGAGTGCACGGGCGGACTTTAACAAGAATTTAACAAGCTTAACACTTAAAAACAATTATTTGTTTGCTCGAAATTCTAACAAAGTTGTGTCTCAGTTGAACTTTTCCTTAATAAATGCACTTTGATGTCAAATCAGCTGCATTTCGCCTGGGCGGCGCAGTGAAATGCAGCTGATTTGACGTTTACTCCAGGAGTTCCGGAGCAAGACAAAGGTGCCGCTATGGCAAGTCAAGTGTCTCATTAAAAGCCACTTTTACCTATTAATGAGACACTGAGGGCCCTCTAGCGGGTGCAAATGGTAATGTTTAATATTTTTCATGTCAGAGTAAATGAAATCGTCAGATCTCAGCCAAAAATTGGGTTATAAATGTGTGTGTGTGTGTGGGGGGGGGGGGGGGGTCATGTATTAGTCGCGTCAGCATATAAGTCGTAGGACTTGCAAATGTATACAAAAAGGTGCAACTTATGTGTTGGCAAATACGGTAGTTCAGCCTTTCTCCTTTTTCATTTCCTTTTGGTCTTTCTGTAATGCATGTTTTTTGAATTTTTGTTATTATTTTTTTTTTATTTAGTTCAATAATTTTGTGGGGTCAAAATAATCTTGTATTTTTTCCCCATGGATCACTGGAAACTTTCATGCTCACAGCCATGTAAGCAGGTCGAAATAACGTGATTTTCCTATTGATTTTGTGTTTGTGTGCCTGCATTGTAATGACTTTATATGTCTGTCTGCTAATTAAAAAAATGCATATTTAGTGATCAATGCCATAAACTAAATTTCAGTTCTAATTGTTTTATTTGATTTAAAATAAGCGCAGACAATCTTATTATCTAGCTGGTAACTGGCCCCTTACATTAGCCAGAATGTTCGTCCTTTACCTGATGACCATGCTGCAGTGGGCACACATGGGTGTTCGCATCCCAGCAGGAAAATGTTCTGCCATTTGAACCAGCGTGTCCTCATCTTTAGGGTGGGGCTGAGGCGCAGGTCGGGTTGGTACAGGACCCCTCGAGACAGAACTGGTATTACCCTTCAATCCAAACGAACAGGAGACCAAACCTTGACCTAAACGAGGACACAAAAGTGTGAATAAATGAATGGAACGGTGAAAGTAAAGAATTTGATATAAACTAGATGAAAGCAACTGTCGTATCCAAAGTGTTGCTATAAAGTTTCTTTTCAGGTTGGTAACTTATTTACCTTCTGACGACCCACCTGACAGGTGTCATGCCTGTTGGTCCTTATTGTCACAGTCACACATTCATCACAAAAGTCTTGAAAAACAAAGGATATTGTTTTTTTCTTGCAGCACATTCCTAAGGTGTGTGTGCATGAACACACATGACTCAGTGCAAACACACACAGACCACCAAGACATTCTGTCTACGAAAACTCTGACACTTGGCTAAACATGTAAGTTGTTTTTGTCATCGCAACACTGTGAATGGAAGTGTTGGTGTTTTTGTAAGGGATGCTCGCACAGACTCATCATTCAAGTATGTTTGTGAGTTAGAGATAAAGACAATGTTGGTTCTGCCTTTTTCTTTGACCTAATAAAAATATGCTATTTATTTAACTGGGTTTTTTTTTTTTCAGTTATGTAGAACATATTTGAGACCCATGAAGACTTTACAGAAACAATAAATCGAACTGCTTTCTTAGTAAAAAAAAAAAAAATTATGTTTTTTTTTTCAGTATCAAATTGCTGCACACCAACTGTTTATTGTCAAATGACTTTACAGTGCAAAACTTGATATTTCTGTCTGTTGATGCTGTTATTCATAATTCAAGCATGCACTTTACAGGACAGAATGTTAAAGGTGGCACGGGAACATTTAGGGATAGAGTCAAAATACTGATGTATTTCCATATCTGCTTAATAATGTACAGAGTTGAGAGGGAGCTGGGATCTTAGTTATCACTGGGCAAAAACCAGGACTGACAGATGGACAGTTTATTATAAGGCCAACAAGAAAACACAAAGTCCAAACAAGAATCCATGAAAAATTCAACATGAAACAAACATTCAAACCTACAGACTAGTAGGAGCAAACTGGAGGAATCAGATTAAAATCTGCACAAGAAGACAGTCAGTCTCCACACAAAAACCCTCAGCAAAAACTCAGAGATCCTTCTTAATATGAGCCCATGGTGCAAATCATTACACCGCTTTTCTGCAGTGCTAATTATTATTTAAAATAATTAAAAAAATAATTGTATTGTTTTTGTTTCAGTAACAATGCCACTGAACTGAGACAGTAGTTTAAATCTGCTGATGTTCTACATGACTGGTTTTCATGAGCCTGTGTCCCTGTGGGGATATCTTTGTTATTTTGTTTGTTTGCATTAGCTTATTAATTATTAGATATTAGAGAAATAATTGCTATTTATTTGCAAAGAAACATACAATATAAAAAATATATATGTACTCTGTATCTACAAAATCACACTGAAATATTTATTACTATACTGAACAAGTTGGACACTGATGTAATACTCTCTGAAAACCCCTATATGTTTTATTTGAATAATTTCCAACAGTTTCTTTCAATTAGTAATATTTTTCTAACAACATATAACCGCTGCACAGGTTACAAAGCAAGGTGTCCTGAACAAATCTGGACCTGCTTTATGGCCGTCAGAGGCAAACTATGAGGAGAGGGAAGTCTGCAGTGACCTATTTCATAACCCGTCCAGCCTCAGCCATGAAACAAGGCCTTTTCCACTCTTAAATGAGCTGAAGCAGCAGTCTGTTCCACGCCTGCCACCCCATCCTCATGCTTTTTTCTGTTGATACAGACTAAAATAGATTTTGCTCATTTGTTTTCATTTGGGCCATTTTTTAGGATTTTATTAGGGAAAGGTTTCTCTTTAGGTGTGCATAACGTCCCCAAGACTTGAGCTGAGAAAACCCCTTAAGTCTGATTATACTTCCACAAGTTAATGTAGTGTAAAAAAGTACTGCAGAATGTTTTCTGTGAAAGCAATGTTCAGGAAGCCTAAGAAAAAACAGCATTGGCAGCATTAGTGCCATGATTAATGTACCATCCCACACATTTTATGCAGCCTTGGCAATAAAAAAGCAATTTTTTTTACACATCAGAGTCTCTTTGTTCGTAATTCTGTGCTGAGTTAATGGGAAACAAACTTATTTTGTTGTAAAACCAGGTTCATAAATCAGATTTCATAAAGTGTGCAATAACAACAGCTGGCAGTATTTGTAAGTGTGGCTCACTCAATGTGTGACAGAGTGAAAAGGCAAATGTAAAACCATCAGATGTTTGGCTGAGGATGAGAAAGATCATGCTCAGTGTTTACCGTAGTTTGGAGCAGCTCCTTTGATCATAGTCTTGACAACTGCAGACTCGTGTGAGCTGAGTCCAGGCTCCTCAGCATCCTCACTGCACAGACAGATAAAACACAGACTGCATTTAAACGTGTTTCACATCACGTAATTAACTATGCTCCGACTAATTCAGTGTTAATTTCTGACTCTGCCTGCTTAAAGAACAACATACATCTAATATTGGTCAAGAAAAAGAGCCTTGGCATAATGTTTCACTGCTTTCCTTATTTGCAGCCTAACAAATGAGTCTCATTTATAGCCACAGAGGAGAGCAAGAGACCACAGTGGAGGAAAACACGACATGAGGTCATGTCAAAAAGTTCCCATTACAAATGGGCTTTGGACACATGACAGCTGAACAGATGTAGTGGAGAAAATGTCCAGATGCTGTAATTACGTCATAGATTCACTAAGAAACTGTAACAAACATGCACCGATATGTTTTACAACCATAACGGATACTCAAAACACACAATTTTGTAGAATTTCTTTAAAGTTATAAATAGGCAAACTGTATGAGCGTATGGAAATTTAATTTTATGACACTACAATTTATGTTTTTGGACAATTCAGAAAAGTTTTATATTGATCACAAATAAACATCTAAACACTAGAACTGAACATAGACATAAGTCCTATTAAGGTCATGGGAACTCAGTTAATGTAAAAAAAAACAACACAAATTTGACATAATAGAGGATGGATGGATGGTGGGCTGACATTATATATATATATATATACTG